AGCCAGCCTTGCTTGCTGGGGAATTCTGGGAGTTGAAGTCCACTCATCTTAAAGTGGCCAAGTTTGGACAACACTGCAGTATTCGCTGCACCCTGGTGTATTGTCAAATCAGTTGACTTCTTCCATAAAAGGAGATTTAAGGTGCTATTATGAAAACAGCCAGCAATGGTAAATTAATGTAAACAGATGTTGAGATCATGGGAGATGTCACAGGAGCAATGGCTCTTGGCGAATGGACCAAAAAACAACAACACCTTGATACAATTTCCTTAGATTGCCATCTTGCTAGTGAGCAGAACAAGATGCACCCAGAATGCAAATGCAGATGAAAAAACACGGGGACTAGCTTTTAGGGGTAGACAACCATGGGATTGTCATAAGAGCAAGGAGCAGAACCATCTGGCCCATGCAAACTCCTCCATGAATCATATTCAGCTGCATTAAACTGCACCTATTTCTAACATGACCTAACTCATATCTATAAATCATATGCCATGTTTTCAATTCAAGCAGTTAACTAGTTGTTTAAGCCTCAAAACTGAAATAGGCAGTTACCTACCTACTTTTACAGGTGGAGTCTGTCATGTGGGAGCATCCTAAAATATGGAAAGAAATAACATTCCTGGTAAACAGTGCCGCATCACAGCCATTGTCTTCTAGGAAATAATGTCTTCCATTTTTGGAAGTGAGCTTGGCTTGGAAGTATATCTTGCAAGTGAAGGATTTTCACCATGGCATTTGTGCTTCCATGTCATAAGAGACTCACAAAAAATATAGATAGTCCACCCTTCCACTAAGGCAGCACACACAAGCTATGTTGATACTCAGTTCAAAATCTAGTATCTACATTGCTGTTTTTGTCTTCTTTGTATGGATTAGCACATTATACTGATCTGTTTGGTTAGCGTATGGCTCAGTGTATTATGTAATTCAAGACAACAGGTTATTTTGTTAACTATATTAAGCAGCTTGCATGAATGTAATCATTGGACCTCTCTTCCCTTTTATCTCGAAATAGATTAGGCTGGCAGATGATGATTGGCCCAAGATCAGTGAGAATCAGTGAGCTTCAGAACTGAATCAGGATTTGACGTCTCCTAATCATCACTATATCACACTGCCGGCTTTTGAGGATCCAGCTGTTAAATAGCAAAACCTGTAAGATCCTTCTAGGCAGCTGTGAGATGAAAAATTGGTCTGGATAACTTGCATTTGATAGGAGCAGATACTTTCCACTGCTAGGAAGCAACAGCAGGAATCAGCCAAATGAAATACTGATACTGGCTCTTCCTCGTGTGTGACTGTCTGTTTGCTTTTCCAGCTGCATCTTATAGCCCTGAACGCTCCCCAGAGCGGCAGCATGCGGGGCATCCGAGGAGCGGATTTCCAGTGCTTCCAGCAAGCCCGGCAGGTTGGACTATCTGGTACTTTCCGAGCGTTCCTCTCCTCCCGGCTGCAAGACCTCTACAGCATAGTGCGCAGGGCAGACAGGAGCACGGTGCCCATTGTCAATCTCAGGGTATGTTGGGTCACAGACCTGAGCAAATTAAGCTTCATCCAATTATTGAGAAGACAATCTGTAAGTCTTTAGGGGAGAAAACACCACAATCCCAGAAAGCAATCCAGCATGGGCTTCTTGGGAACAAACTGCAGCAGACTAAACTTAGCTCCTTTTTTAAAAAACAATTGTAGAACAAGGCAATATTGTACTATGGAACTAGTTAATTGATCTTGGTTTAAGCATGACTTTGCACGAGACAGCTCACATTCTTCTTGGTAAGCAGGTAACAAAAGCGTTCACCGATGGCTATTCAGCCACGCAGATAGAGCATTACGTGTTTTGTACTGGGTTTAGTTTAATCTCTTTGTAAATACTTTGAGCAAAAGTGTAAAGGAAAAGCTTGTAACATTTTCATTTGATATTGCAGTACACCCTTTGCCCAATAGGATTTTGACGGGTGAAAGACTAAGACAAATCCTAAATTGAGTAGATGTCACTGACCATGTCTGTATTTCAGTAGGAAGGATCATTGGCACGTATACAGGATGCCTGACAATAGTAAAACGTATGAAAATAATTTTAGATTACATGAATCAACAGGGCAGGACAACAGCTGAAATCCTAGAATAGTTCTAGATTGCATCTATGGAAATTTTGTTCTACTCTGCTTGGGTCAAATCTCTCCTGGAACAGTGCATTGAGCACAGAGGTTTAAGGGCATTATTATTTATTTATTTATTTAAATTTATTGGCCACCCGCCTCCAGTGGACTCTGGGCAGCGTACCAAACTAGGGTATTGATGGAATGTGGCCAATAAGAAGGTGGTAAACATGGCAAGAGATTATAGTTTTAAAGATAATTATTTTTTAAGTAAAGGTGATTTAGTATGGCAGATAAAATTCAGCTCTGAGCCATGCAAGGTAAAGCATGTAAGTAATTATATCCTTTTTGTCATTGTGGGGCAACCAAAATTGATTATACTAAATTAGCTGACATCTTCCCAGACATTTTGCATATTAATGCTCTTTATAAGAATGATTTTTGGTTAGGAAAGTCACGGTAGGCACTTGACCCATGCCTTTAAAAGATGTGAGCCTGCTTTCTTTTACAAAAAAGTTATTTTGAAAATAATATAATGCCTTCATATGGATCAACAAGTTCTACTTTGGACACTGAACATTTCATTTCCAAAGAATATTCAAAACTTAATTTAGAACTTCTGGTTAATTTAGAACTGTAGAAGCTGCCTTAAACGGCTCCTGATATCCCCCCAAGATTTAGGTTGCCTCAACCTAACAAGTCTTTAGACAATCTCTAAAAACCTCTTTTCCCCCAAGCTCTGGGCTAGATTGATGGTGAATCCAATGAGATATTGTTCCTCTGTTGTGTTTCAGTCTATTCTTATGTTTGTTTTTTAGGAGTTACATTAGCTTTAATTTTGTGCCACACAGAATCTGTGTTAAGTGGCTTTATAGAATGAATGAATGAATGAATGAATGAATGAATGAATGAATGAATGAATGAATGAATGAATGAACGAACAAACATACTCCCAGGTCATGGACAAGAGTGTTTTCCAGGTACGTTACCAGAGTTCCTTCAGCTGGAAATAGGAAGGGGTTTTGACAGGCACAGCAAATGCTGTCTCAGTGAGCTAGTCCTTGAATTGGAAAGCTCAGTCTAAAGAATATTTCTAGGCAGAAAATGTTTGTGAAATAACGCTTAGGCAACTACATTGCTCTGTCTTCTTTCTTTCCAGGATGAAGTGTTGTTTAATAACTGGGAGAACCTCTTCTCAGGCTCTGAAGCTCCATTCAGAACTGGGGTTCGTATCCTCTCCTTTGATGGGAGGGACGTCCTAAGAGACTCTGCATGGTAAGTTGGGGGTGAGATTTATTTTCCTGTGGATGAAGAAGTTGGAATGTGCTTTGATTTTAAGTCTGCTCTACCTCCCGCTGGGTCAGGCCTCTGCATGTCCAGTGTTTCCAAAGGCATCCCCAGAAGGGCCTCCTTCCTTCTTGACCTTTGTAAACAATGCAGTTTGTGTTTCTCCTCCACTGCTCCCCAGCCCCACATGAAGTATTTTTGGAGGTAAGGATGCAGCAATAAAATATTTATAGAGACAAAAAGGTTTGCTTTGTCAGGCATGTTATGTAGCCCTTTAGCAACATTTGTAATTTTTGGTCCAGAGCAGAGTAGATGTTTTGTGTCAAACCACTATCTGGCTCCAGCATATTTTTTCTTTCCCTAGGATAGGCAATAAGATTTGCTCAGATTTCCTTAACTTTATGGAGCATGAGTAGTGGTTACAACAGCTCAGGCATGATTAGGCACTGCAAATCCTGCACCAAATCATGGTCCACCAGAGGCAGGGCTCATGCTTCAGACTAAGTCATAGTATGGTTCTGTTTTGGCTTAGCGTGCTGAAACAACCCAGCCACTGTTCTTAAACCATAATTTATTACTTATTAAGTTGCACCAACCCAGTCAAGTGTAGTTGACTCAAATATAGTTAAGCAATAGCATAGCAGGGTGCATGAATGCCTTCATAGTGCTTGTGTGTGTGAAATGGCCTTCACATGAAGATACTTTTCAGGCCTCAGAAGTACGTATGGCATGGCTCTGATACCAAGGGACGGCGACTAACAGAGAGCTACTGCGAGACGTGGCGGACAGATGACACAGTGGTGACTGGCCAGGCCTCCTCGCTAGCATCAGGCAAGCTGCTTGAACAGAAGAGCAACAGCTGCAGAAACGCCTTTGTCGTCCTTTGCATCGAAAACAGCTTCATGACATCTTCCAAGAAATAGAACCCCGGAATGGGCTGATTGCAAGTGGAGGCTGAGAGTCCCAAGGTGCTCCTTCTGCAGTGGGGAGCAGGCAAGAGATTCCTCCACCTCCACCGTCAATCAGGATAACATGTCCAGCCAGTTTCATAATATAGCAACCAAGCAGATAAATGAACAAAAAAGCCAAAGAGCATTTTCCTATGATTTACGGCACAGATCTGATGCTGTTTTTTGTTTTTGTTTCCTCTGAGCACAGCTGCTGGAGGGGCTCAGGCAGAACAGGATTATATGCAAGGCAGGCTCCGGGCAAGCGCAGCCCCTGAAATGGTGTTCTCTCTCTGTCTCCTCCTGCTCATATGTAGTCCGATGGCTTTTTTTCTTGTTATCTTAAAGCTTCCCTGATCACCTCCCTTTCCCTCTTACCTTTCCGAACAGTCCATAGGTTCCTTTAAATAAGAAAGCCAAGGCCAAATGGGATGTCAGAAGATCTATTTATTTTTATTGACTTAGTACAAGATGGCTTCCCCAAACAGGGAAGTGCTATCTTTGGAAGCCCTTATTGTGAGCATGTCCTCGGCGTTTTAAATCCCAGTCACTAGGCACACATGGTACCATCTGCTCTTCTATTAGGGGCATGGAGCTAAAGGAAACGTATTTGATCTTGCTGAAACGTTCATCACCAAAATCATCTTATAGGCCCCGGGCAGGCTTTTCGGCATGTGCCCTGCACAGCATCAAAAACTTCCTATTTCAAACAACTTGCCATTGCCATTCTGCTGGCCTTGCCAGCTGGCTCAACTGCTTTTGCTTTTTTTATTTCAGACACAGAAGGAAGTAATACTGCTCCCTTCAAAGGCTAGTTACAATTCCTGCTGCAGAGTTTGCAACATCCTCTGCAGAAACAGGGCCAGAAGAGAGAGATGAATAACACTAGCAATCATTCAGCACCATTCTTCCCATGTCCCTTAATTGCCCATTTCTTGTTCTTAAAAGTGACAGAAGTGTTACAATCGCCTTAAAGGTGATTTAGGTGTGGAATTTTCCTTAGGGGTCTGGAGGGAAGCACAAATGGAGCACAGTTACCACAAAAAGAATCTCTATTTTTTCTTTTATTGAGGATTCGTTGTTGTTTAAAAGATTTTTCTTCTCTGCTTTGCAGGGAAGTTGCCATTCTTTACCTCACCCAGGCATTTGCCACAGAAACTGGGTTACAGCAAAACCTGGGGATCCCTAGAGCTCCCATTAGTTATCAAAGCCCTGCCAGTCCTCTCCCCTTGACCTGCTGATAGCAGCCACTGCTTGGAGAGAGAGCCTGTTCCATGCACACCATCCCAGCCAGGTTCCAACCTCAGTTACCAGGGAGTGCATAATGTAAACGGTCCCTGGCTTTAGAAAGCAGCGGCCAGGTAACAGTAGACAAGAAAACCAAATGCACCCACAAGGAGCTACCTTCAACACATCAGGTCAAGTTCACTCAAAACCTGGCAAACCCCTGTGCCAATGAACATCAGGTTAAGTGCTGTTAGCCACTTCTTTCAAACCAAAGTTAAAAGAAACCCACCCATCCAATCAATAATTGTGTCTTCCCCTGTTCCTGATTATGGGTAGGAACCACGCCTATGCATTCCAAAGCATTAAAGCACAAGGATATTTTAAGGTGTGGAGACCACTGGAGTAGACGGGGGTTGTGTCTGCTTTGCTCCCCTATAAAAGCACAGCTTGGAGTCCTGACCCTGGAGCCTTTTTAAAAGCCATCATAAGAGCGAGTCATAGCAAAGCAACTTGGGGCCTTTCCTCTGTGGGTAGGCTTAACTGCTATGGAGTGTCTGATCTACATCACCTGTCTTGCATCTTGGTGCCCAGAACCTCGGCCAGGCTGATGCTTGCTCCATACCCATTCATTTGAGTTGGTTTTTAAAAACCAAGGTGCTAAATTCCTACTTAGCTTTGTTTTTACCGTCCTAAGAAAATGTTGCTACCGCGGTGGGGAAAATTTGTGCAAGTCATACAGTCAGTTTTCTTACTGTCTACTGTATTTTGTGAAAATTTAATGCAGTTTTAAAAGCCTGTGGATCTCTATATCTTCGTCAGTTGCGTGTTGTGTATTATAAACTGTTTTCTAAAGGCACTGAATAAAGGAAAGTATCCTCCTCTAATGCTGGCTGTGCTTTGTGGATCTTTACTGAAAGCTTAGCCTAGCTTGGCCTTGTCCTGGAGCATATGAAGTAGTAACAGATGCTTCTGGGTATCTGTGAAGCACCCCTGAATTATCAGAATCTGGGGCAAACCCAGGGTGTCAGTGTCGAAAGGTCTGACTACCAAGCCACAAGGCTTACTGTACCTTTTTAAAAAAAAATTCATTGTAAATAAAACTGCACACATATTGGACACGCTTAGAAATGCATACAGGTTGCTGCTTGAAGATTCTCTACGTAAGTCCTGACCTACTTTCCTTTCAAATCCTGCTTCTCCCAGTAGGCTCCTGTAGGGATCATGTGAGTCAGCTCCATAAAAAAGTGGCTTAAAAAGAAATGCTTGGTCTTTGTGGGAGAGGAGCATGAGCATTAATCAAAATGCAAACTCTTGGTTTTTAATGGAGTAGACTGGATTGTCAAGCTCACTTTGGTCCTGTGTCTGCCAGTCAGTATTCCTCATGAATTTGAGGGCATATTTTTTTTGTCTGGCAGTTTCATTGTTTACAGTATGCTTTCTGAGTATGGCAGATTAGAAGTACCAGGAGTCAAATGTGAAAAGGATCTCTGTTTTCTTATAAAGGGAAAACAGAAATGTTTTTTGAGTTATTAAGAGTCACATCACAGCATATTAACAGTATCAACATTAAAAGTGCCTTAGTCTAGCTTGCTCTGTCTTTTGGCAAGTTTACATGATAGGACTAGGAACACAAAGATTTAAAAGCAAATTCATACAATCATATAATTAGGTCCTCAATTATAACATTGGCAAATATTGCTCTGGTACAACTTGGCTCAAGAAGAAGGTGCCTGCAGAAGGAAGAGGGAGAACTGTGGCTGCCAGAAATGTTACCTGCACACAAGTTGCATCTTAAATCAAGCAAGCTCTTTCCTCTGGGCTTCTGCAGAGTACTGATATTGTGAAAATAGCGGTGCATGGACTTTGATAAGCACTGATTGCCACGATAAGTGCTGACTGCCATGATTGCCATGTCTCATCTCAGATGGGACACGGCAGGCAAATCCTCTCCAGATATGTACCAAGACTGGGACAGTTCTCAGGCTTTGGAGCTAGCCAGTTCTGGGCTTCTTTCCTTGTCCACATTTTCCTCAACTGGGCTGCAGAGTTCCTTGGCTGGTGTGGCCTCTTGGGGTGTCTTACATGCACTGTGCCTTGCAGTCCCGTAGACAAATGACAAAAGATATGCCCCAGTCAGAACGGTGAAGTAGCCAAAGTAAACATAGAACTAGAAGAAGAGAAAACACCTGAGTATTTCGATGAAGAACAATACAGGGCTTCATAATCTCAATGCATAAGAAATGAAAGCTAACCATCAATCCACCTAAGGACGAAAAAAGCAGAAATGGGCCTTCAAAAGAGCAACAGAAGAGCCCTGAAATTGGATCAGCTCAACGGGGCCATCCAGTATAGCATCCTACTTTCCACCATGGCCATCCAGAGGCCTCTTGGAAATTTCACCTCTGCACCTGCCGCCAGCCTGGTTATTTCTGTGCCATACCATACTGTGTCTGAACACAAACACTGGCTCAGCCGTCAATCCCAATCCCCTTCCTTCTCCTTCAGGAGAAGAGGGACGAGGGGCAGGCAGGGGAATCTTGCCACCTCAGTGACAGAATTGGAAGTGAGTGAAAAAAGTCATTTGCTCTCTTACCTCAGAATTAGTTTATCTGCAATAGCCCAACTAAACGTTTACCTTTAGAGATTTCCATTAATGAAAAGTAAATCTATTCCAACATCTAACCTTTGTACCTGAACCTGCCTGGTGGTTGCAGCTAATTTTAGGACTTCCTTAAGCCCACCACTGCAGGTGTCAGCCCTGATCACTCTTAAGGGAACAAATTAGACTTCCTCTTCTTGAACTACCTGCTCTCCAAAGCAGGATGCAGGTGAGATGTTTGGAAATCACTGTAATACATATTAGCAAATAGAAAATATCAGCAGCAATTTGAATGCATTTTTAAGAAGGGCAGAAGCGTATTTTTGTCTACTTCTGCTAAGATCATCAGATTGCACTAGCATATCTTTTGGAGATCCAGAAGCTGGCAGAGATTCCTCTAATGTTTGGGAAACCCAGAATATACAGGTAGTCCTCGTTTAGCAACCACAGTTGGGACTGGCCACTCCATCACTAAGTGAAGCAGTTACTATCACATGATCGCAACTGCTTTCAAGCTCAAAATTAAGACTACTTTGGCTTTTGTTTGCCTCCTAACCACTCCCCTGCCCTTTGGAACGCTCGCCCCGGGGCTGGGATAATTAGCAGGAAGGGAATTCATGTTTGTATTTACATTCATTGGAGAGGAAGGGATTACAAGAGAGTAAGCAGGCACACAATGGGGAATACACAATGCGCTGGCATCAGCAGCCACCAGCCCCACTACGCAAACAGCCTGGTGCATTCGTTATTGTGTGCCTGCTTACTCTCTTGTAATCCCTTCCTCTCCCATCTCTGCTCTGCAAAGGAGGGGAAAAAAAACCACAGGTCAGGCACAGGACATGTACTGACTATAATGGTGATCATGTGACTGAGGGACACTGCAAAGTCATAAATTGGTCGTAAAGTTATTTTTTCAGCACCATCGTAACTTCAAACAGTTGCTGAACAAGTGGTCAGTAAGCGAGGACTACCTGTGTATTTAAAACATTAAAAAGATAATACTGGTTTTCATAACTTAGGTGCTTTTGAACTTCACTGTTCCTGTTTCTACTACAAAAAATATATATATATAACACAATGGGAGTAAGCTAGCTCCATTGACTAAACTGGGCTTAATAGGTATCAATGGTAGGCAGTGTAGAGCCTCCAGCTTTTGGCCTTGAACTCTCACCCATATAGCCAATAATAAAGAATTATATTTGTCTGCCCTTGGATTGTGTAGTTCTGTATGTCTACTCAAACTTCCTTCGGCTTGTTGCTCAGGAGGGACTTTAATGTGGCCCCCCACAACAGGCAAGGCAAAGCCTAATAGGCAGTTTCTACTGAGCAAGGGGCTGCTACCATAACTATAGTATAAACTTGCTCCTCAGCTTACCTGAGGATGGACTGAGAGAGCCAGACCCCTCTTATCAGTTATGATGATAGTGATGATGGTCTTCAGAACTGTGGCAAGGAAAGTATTGACACCAAACACCAGAGCGCAGAGTTCTTTGGAGAGCGAAGATGCAATCTGGAATCTTTGGTCAGAGAGAGAAAGCAAGTTAGCTTTGGCACCAACACAAAATATATTGAGGAGAAAGAAGAGTCACTTTATGGACAAGGACTCAGCTGGTTTGCTGAAACATCACTCTGAATGAGGGGCACCCACAATTGTTAGTATGAGTTTTATTAAAAATCTGAAAGTGTGGCAGCAGACATTTTCATCCACCTCCACATGTTTATAATACACATGCCAACAAAATGTGTAGGTTTACAACCAACACATCTGAGGACAGCAAACTAGGGAAGAGCGTGCTACAGCAATACAGCTACCGCTATAAATGGAGGGGGGGGGAGGTTTCTTAGAAAAAAACTGGAAATCTAAAATAAGATTTTAGAAGAAAAGTATTTGTCATCATCATTAGTAAACTATTTTCAAGTTAGCTGCATTAACCTGTTGGTCCGAGAGGATAGTAAAGACTACTTGATCCAGTATTTTGCAGTTTTAACATCCTTACAAAAATCCTGCATTGCTTTTAGGATCCTGGAACATTGCACTGTGTTTGGATCCTGCTCCACACTCTGTGTGCGTGCACGTGCGCAAGCATGTAACTCTACAGGCACGTGAATGATAGCTCTTACTCCAATACTGAACTGGTTTCCAGGGTTGATGGACGTTCTGTGTATCCATTTTCACCATTATACCTAATGTAAATTTAGTTGTCAGTTCTCACCACCATCACTCACATAGCTATAGGCACAAGAAACTGATAGGAGCCCCTGAAAAGGATGTAGGCCACATAGCACAGCCAAATATTGGCAGTTGTGTTCATCAGCAAAAGTAGGCCTGCTTGGACTGCTGTCACAACCCCAATCACCAGTTTTGACCAGAAGGCCCATCGGATCTTCACAAAGCCAGCAGCAAAAGCAGTGATGGCACCTGGGAAAACACAAAAGATTGTCAAGAGGGGACAGGGCCTTTATGCGTAAACAGGGCTCTAGTTTTCTATGCAGTATTCTACCAAGGGATATTAAGTAGGTACATCCAGCAATGCCGTGGAGGAAAAAAAATTATCAAACAAGATTTGGCAACTTTCTGATCTACTAGTTTGAACAGCATATAGACTGTTAGGGTTGAACAGCACCAAGACTTTTAGGGTTACTATAGGTACTAGTCATATTGTGCTTGTGAAGCTGGAACCAAAACAACTATACAAGAAGAATCAGCTGACTCAGGGACACCTGGGGGGGCAGGGGGGCAGAGATTTTTTTCCAGGGCCAGAGATATGATGAATCATAGTGAATGCCACTCTGCTAACATGGATTTTAGGATGGTGTAAATCAATTTTGGGGGGTAGGAATAAACTTACAAATATAAGAGGACCTTATGATTGCAGCAGAACATGTACCTACTTAATATCCCTTGGTAGAATACTGCTGGGAAACAATATAAAGTGAGACATCGCAGGAAAATGTGTTTTTTCTATAAGGTGTTGATCGCTGCTTGCAATGGTGTTTTTTCTTGCTGGAAGTGGTCCTTCCCTGTCTTTTTGACTATAGATGAAATGAACTGAGCCTGTGATCTCTGGCATTAGTGAACCAGATAAGGCATTCATTTTACACACTTGGAGATAGGGGAACTTGCATAAATAATAAGCATCTGAACAAGCAAAAGCACCTTGCTCATTATGCAAGGACGTAGCACCCTGGCCATGTTTCCATACAACTTTCTATGCTAGATGACTAACACGGGTCCTCTCATCATTCCCAAGTGACTTTTACAACTACAGCTGCAGATTTCTTAGTTCTACAATAATGGGAATCACAACCCAATAATTACAGAGTATCCATGATGACCTTAGTATGAACAGTGGAACTCGCCTTTGCATGAAGGTGCTTAGGGCAGTGGTCTTAAGACAGTCTGCTTCATTATTAGTGGAGGTTATGATTAGTCCCTGGTTGGGGCACAGCAGAGAAAAAGATAAATACATAAAGCACAACTGCAGATGAAGAGAAATATCCATATACCAAGCAGGGTAGAAACAGCTTCCACTCCACCATTGTAGACCTTTCTGTTGTCCCTGGTGGGGTATATTTCATTCCATAAAATATGCACATAGTAAAGCATCAGATAATAGCCAGCAGAATTGAATATCCACCAGAGGGACCAAAGTCTCAGCTGGGGCATTTGTACAAGAGACCCCAATTCTTCTACCATCTGGAATAAGATCAGATTTTTCCAGGAAGAGGCCTTATGCCACATGGGCTCCCCTGCCCCAGGGTTCATTTTGTCCAGCTCTGAGGGTGAGGTACCATTGCACCTGGTCTTGCTCCTGTTGAAGAGGAGGCTGCGTTTTGGGCGTTTCAGGAAGAGGGTCAAGACCAGCCCAAAGCACATGAAGCCGAGCGAGATATAATTCACTGTCATGAAGGTGGTGCCTCCAACTGTGACACAGAGTTGTCCCAGTACGGAACTGGTGAAGACGCCCATCAGCACCGAAGACCGGGAATAACTGGCCATGCGCTGGTAGCGCGAAGGGGTGACCAGGGTGAAGATATAGGAGGAGTAGGCTATCCGAGCAGCCATCGTGATGCCATAGAAGAACTCCATGAACTGCATGGCAATGATGCTGGTACCAAAGATCAGCAGCAACCAGATGGCAATGTGGCTCAAGCTCTGCAGCACCAGCATTGGCTTGTATCGCAGATAGTCTGTGAGTAGAAAGATGGGCACCAATACTGCCATGTAGGAGTAAGCCAGGACGGGTGTAATTTCATTGGTTACCTGCAAGATAAAACCAAACCAAGTGCAACTGATTTATGAGAGTGATTGAACCAAAGGGGTAAAGAACTCTAGTATGAAAGATGCTAGGAACTTGCACGTTCACCTCCCCTCACCTGCAGACTAACCATCTAGGTCCTCCTCCTTCATGACTTACTAATTTGGGTGCTTCTTCTTCACATTCTTTTCTGAGAAACAGACACCAAGACTTTTAGGGTTACTATAGGTACTAGTCATATTGTGCTTGTGAAGCTGGAACCAAAACAACTATACAAGAAGAATCAGCTGACTCAGGGACACCTGGGATGGGGGGGGCAGGAAAATCCATAAGGGCAAAAAACTTCCACTGCTATAACAACTTGATGGCATTCTGGGTGAGTGAGTAGAAATACACTGATCACTTGGTGGGACTGAAAGGGAAGAAAAACAGATTTACAACAAACATAGAAAGCTATCAAATGTTATCTAGCTAGAACATGTCCTAGTTCATCAGAGGAACTGTTTTTTTCAAAATTCCTAGGGATAAAATGGAGTTGCCAACATAGGGAAATGAAATGACTGCATGTAGCTCATAAAAGAGGGCAAAGCACCCTCAGAAGGAATGGACTATGGTGGCTGGAGGGGAGAAAAAGGAGCACAGGGCAAGAAGCAGCTGTGGGTATCTGGAGACCCTTCTCTTCAGCCCAACCCCCCAATTCTTCACAGATGTCAATGATAAGTGAGAGGAATGCCACAAGCATAATTAACCCAATTTCCCTGAATTTAAGGTAACTCCTCAAAAGAAGATCTGACTGTAAAAAGTTCTCTGCCTCCATCAACAAATATCATGCATCAACATTGTGTAATTTGAATACACATAAATGCAAATTTCACAGTGGAAAAAGTGAGCACACCCCTGTATTTATCACCATCTCAAATACCTAAAATTAGAATCTGGTATAGATGATTAAAACATCATTGGAGAAGATCTGGGAAGAACCTATCTTATTGAAATGTCAGACATTTAGTTTGATTTGTTCTTTGTCATTGAACTGTGTGGTGTTACCATGCCTAGATCAAAAAAGCTCTCTGAGGCCTTCAGAAAGAGAGTTATGTATGCCTATGAGTCTGGGAAGGGATTTTAAAAGACTGCCAAACAATTAGACATCAATCATTCCACTTTTTAGAAGATCATCTACAAGTGGAGAAGATTTCTAACTGTCAACTTGCCCAGGCCAGGCTGTCCCAGCAAATTCAGCCCGAGAGTAGAATGCAAGATGCTGAAAGAAGCCTGTAGCTCTTGCCGCTACTGATGTCAAAGTGCATGAGTCTACCATTAGAAAGAAGGTGTACACATTAGATCTCTATGGGATGTGTGCCAGGAGGAAACTTTTGTTGTCCAGAAAGAATATGAGGGCAAGACTAAAGTTTGCTCATGAATACCTAGGCAAAGACCAGGACTTCTGGAACAATATGCTCTGGACAGACGAGGCAATACCAGGTATTAGAGCTTAGGGTATACTCATTTTTTCCACAGAAGGAAATGGCATATCCGTTATTTCTGGGTTGAAGAAATGATTGCAAAGTCATTTATTCAGAGTTTGTTGTTGTTGTTGTTGTTCAATTGCAGCACCTTTATCTATATATAGTGTTTGAATGAAGATAAAATATTGATATGTCCCCATATGTTAAAAAAGAAAAAAAATTACATGGGGTATTCTTACTTTTTCACATGACTGTATTTTCAACAAATTTAAAACCCTGCTCCCATGTTGAAGACAATTATTTGTAAAAAAAAACACTAGTTCATGGAAATACAGTGTATAGGAAAACTGAAACCTGCTTTATACCAAACCAGACCACTGGTTCACATAGTTGGCTGGTAATAATTCTCTGGGATTTCAGACTGGAATTTTTCACAGTCCCACCAGGGGATGAGAGGGTCTGAACCAGAGACTTTACTCATGCACAGCAATGTATTCAAGTAATGAACCTTGAACTCTACTGCCTCATGCTTACGGATTTCAGGGCCCAAACTCACATGCTCAGGTCGTGCTTGAACTTTTGTCTTGCTTAAAGCCAATCTTTCGTCACTCTTGAGTGGGACTGGCAATATTCTACCAGTGCAAGAAACATTATTTTTTATCTCAAATTAAGAAAGGGTTCTTTCTAAATGAAGACATTCAGTGTTTTGCTTCTAGTTTTCTACATCTAGTTCACACTAATACTACAATTCACAGAGCCATAATAGGTAATGTCTTGCTTCTATCTCCCTAAATGTATGATTTTATCTGACCAGTCAGCACCATAAAGTCCCTTTGTGCAAAAAGGTAACGTTTAATCATATGAGGCAAAAGCACGCATTAAAGCAATGAGAAACGGGCACATTGGGCTATGCATGTTTGTAAGTATCGCAACCATTCCAATGCTGGTATCTGCTCCTATGGGATGGATCCTATGACCGTTGCTGATTTTACCATGGCTGGTGGATTTTTTTTTTTAAATAAAATTTTTTATTCTTTACAACAAACACAAAACATACATAAACAAA